TTCCTTTCTTTCTTTCTTTCTTTCTTTCTTTTTTTTTTTTGGAGAGGTTTTTGGTATAGGGTGCATGCACTCGCCAGAAAGATGGAGAGAGACAGAGGGACAGAAAGTAAGAAATCACCCCCCTCCCCGGGTGGGGGGATGGCCACACTGCAATCCCTTCTCCTCCATCTTCCTCTTGAGATCTTGGCCATGCATACACACACGCCCAGCATGAGTTTAAGCCACGGTGTCCAGGACTTTAACCACAGTTGACTACGTGGAAATCCAGTGACGTAGTCATTAGAACATCTGCTTTTCCTATTTTTTTCTAATGAACTCTTGTTATGTATAATTTGATCTATTTCTAACTGGTCAATGATTGATACCCACAGAGTTTTTCAGATTATAAACATTTTTCTCTCACAGTCTTTTACAGGAAGGGGTGTGAGGTGTGCTTTAAGAAAAGTCATTTGTGTCCAAGAAAGAAGAGATGAGCCGGCTCGCCCCTGCCCACGACCGCCCCCCCCGCCGGTCTCCCTCCTGGGGATCTGGTTAAATGAAAATACACGAGTGGCTATGCAGTGCTGGCCACAGGAGTGAGACCCTCCCACCGCGCGTCACGACAGGACACGAGTGAGTCGAATCAGGACCCCGCGGCCTGGGGGCTGGGCTCCACGGGCCTCAGACCAGCCTCACTGCGGGAGGGCCTTCAGGACTGCGTTCACCTCCTCCGCCACCGCCGTCAGCGCGAACTCGAACTGCTCCTGTGAGGGACGGGAAAGGACGGGCTGTGACAGTGCTTCTGCTCCGCGTCCGCGTGGCATGCAGAGAAACTGTTGAAGGCGGCGGAGGGCTGAGAACTCAGTGGAGAGGAGGCTGCGTGGCTGGCCGGGCTGGCGCCTCTCCTGCCCAGGTTGGCCCCCAGATTGCTGCAGCCCTCTGGCTGGCCCTGGACGTCACGGCTGACCTGCGCCCCTGGGCCTGACAGCCCCCCTCCCTGACTGCCTGGTGGTCAGTCCAGCAGAAGGACCCTTCCAGGGACAGAGAGCCCGTGGGTTACTTGTCACCCGCATCACCTCGCACGGGCTCAGCATTTAGACTGCTGTGGGAACAGCTCAACAGGGAGCAGGTGCGGGCCGTGCGGCGGCCCAGTGGTGACACGCGGTTCTGAGAGGCTGAGCCACAGGGGACGTTGCAGGTTTGAGTCCAGAGGCCTCCCTGGGTATGCCAGGCATGCACGTGTCCGGGCTGGCTGAGGCTGGCGGGCAGGGCGCGGCCCCTGCCGGGCACTGTCTCTGCCTCTCCTGTTCTGTACGCAGTAACTAGACGGGGTCTGAGAACGAGTGCACCTGCATGCGGCCTCGGCTGCTCGGTAACTGCGGAGGGGCAGAGCCAGCGTGCTTGGGGCCGGGCATGCCCTGGCTGACGGGAGGCCCCGGGGCTGTCGCCCCACGCGGTCACCGAGGCGGCATGGCCTCGCATGGGTCCCTGCCTCCATGCTGACCTACAGGGATCACAGGGCCGTCAAACACCGGGAGCTGCTCTGCACACTCGGCCTCTCTGCAGGATGACGGAAGCGCTGGGGGCCCCGCCCGCCCCGGGGTGTCTGACCAGGGCTGTGGCCTGGTGGGTGGCTCCTGTCAGTGCGACTGCGGGCTGGTAACTGCTATAGATACGCCAGGCGTCTACACAGGGGCCACTGGAGGCACACGGGGTGATCCGTACCAGCTCTTTGACTTCTTTTGGGCAGGTCCGAAATAAGCTGAAATTTTGAATTAAGCACAACTAGGAAAGCACAGAGCGCTCTGTCTGACGAGGCCCCCCGACGGTCACACGGGAGTCACGACCCCTGGGGGTTGGAGTGCAGGTGAGGCGGGGCAGGGGGGCTGAGGACATGCACGGCGCTCTGACCACCTGTGGCCTGCGTGGCCTCACGCCGTCTGCCCTGTGCCCGGATGCTGTAGGTGGAGTCTGCGTCGGAACAGGGAGGCTGGTGCCATCTCCACCTGGAGGCCGAGCTGGACTAGAGTTCTCGACTCATGAGTTTCTCCATGTTCTACGTAGAATGGCTCTGTGATTCTGTAAGCAATGCCAGGTACTCTCGCCTCAGCACTCAGGGCTGACTGGCAATCTGAGACAGGGCTCCGTAAGGGTGTTTAGGCACGGCCTCGGTGTTTAGGCACGGCCTCGGTGTTTAGGCACGGCCTCGGTGTTTAGGCACGGCCTCGGTGTTTAGGTATGGCCTCGGTGTTTAGGCACGGCCTCGGAGTTTACGGATGACCTCTGTGTTAGATGTTTAGGGACGGCCTCCCAGGCCCTGAGCTGCTTGACTCCTGGGCCGTTTGCTGCTTCTGTGGTCCAGCTTCTGCTGGAGCACGGAGCTGACCCTGTTCAACCTCCTACGTGCCGCCTGGACAGGAGGCACTCAGGAGTAACGTGTGAGGGGCGCATGGGCTCTGGGAGCTGGGATCCCTGACACTCGGCAGCACCGGGGTTGGCCCAGCGCAGCCTCCAGGAACCCCTCTGCAGTGTGCGCAGTGGAAGGGAGCGCCACCCCCGCCCCCGTAAAAAGAATGAGAGAGGCAGGGAGAGGCACAGGGCAGGGAAGGACAGGGGGAGGCAGGGGGAGGCAGAGAGGGGCAGGGAGGGGCAG